ACACACACACACACACACACACACACACACACACACACACACACTCAGCCCACAGTTTGATTTTTATCGCACTGTCTGCTTCACTTATCTGCCTCTATTTATTTGCAGGTATCTCTGCTGTGAGACCCAGTCAGAAATGAGGGAGTGGTATGCTACATTTCTCAGTATTCAGGTATGTCCCTCCCTGAACACCTGCTGAGAGGTGGAAAATTTGTAATAAATCATTTAAATGTGTTATGATTTGTTTTATTTCTTTTGTTGTTATTTGTGAAAACTGAATTTCTTGTAAAAACCAAGCAGCGATGCAGAAGTTTTAGAAACTGTAATAAAGAAAGTAAATAAAACAGCACTACTGAAATCAGTAATCCTCACCAGGACCATGTTAAATGATTTAAATAGTTTCCTCACAGTGTAGTAGTATTATATTGTAGTATCGTAACATGTCTGTCTTCTCTCCTCTCGGTTTCTCCTCCTTGGTAAAGTACGACGGTAACGTGTGGCCTCAGGATGGACTCCAGCACAAGCGCGTGAGTCGTGAGTTGCCAGACACGCGTCATGGTAACGTGTCACTGATACCACTGCGTGGCAGTGAGAATGAGATGCGGAACAGCGTTGCAGCTTTCAGCCAAGACCAGCTTGCTGTGAGTCAATCTACCAATCACTGGGAGTAATCTAGGACGAACCAGGCAGCTCACTGCAAAGCTGCCCAGTTAATCAGAGACTTTCATGCTGCGCAGGTGGTCCAGACCCCTCAACCATGAGCCGAATCAAAGAGCAGTGCAAATTTGCGCACATCCTATACCAATTTTGCACTTTGCGAGTCTGATTTCTATTCAGAATAGAATACATCGGATTGTGCATGAAATCAAGCGTTCAGTCTCCTGAGGCAGAACTTCTCATGCTCAATTTTTCTCTTTGTTAACCTTTCAGTAAAGTTTGAGGGATTCACCTGTGCAGGATCAATAATCTCTGTTTCATGATTTGTCTGTGATTTAACGATCGTTGCAGGATCTGGGTTCTTAAAATATTAAACTAATCAATTAAATATATTATGAAATGCAATCTCATGTGGTTTCACGAGCTGCGAAGATGATAAATGATTTGTGTTCAACCAAAACAAAAAAATGTTTTAAGAATCCAGACTGTGTGCAGAGCCTTAGACGATTTTTTTATTTTATTTTATTTTTTGATTGAGCCAGACTTATCCTGGTGAAGCTCTGCCAAAGCCTGCTTCAGAGCACTAAAGACACAAACAATAACACATTCAGAGAGAGCTCATGCTTGCAGGCAAACTATACTTTCACAGCACTGGTGTCTCATCAGCTCACAGAATTGTATTCTTGGCATGAACAAACATCACCTTAGTTCGCCGGACTATATTTTTAAGCTCTCTGACACTGAACCAGACCTGCTTAGCAGCATCAATATTGTGTTCATGCAGCCATCCTAAACCCCTCCGCCCTCTGCTCAGTCGTCGGTGCAGAACAGAACGTCGACAATCTGATGATGCAGTTGTCTCCTCCTGCTCTTTTCTTGTTATCACAAACCGCTCAATATTTTGCTGCAGATTGCAGCAGCACATAAAAATTCATCTCAGCCTGCTGTAACTTCCACCGGCAATAGCCTGATTTCAGGGTTGCTGTGTTGTTGCCTGCCGCATATTTTCTATTGATTCCTGCCTGTTCAGTGTATCGACATGATGTTGGAGTGTGAGAAGAGGCGTGATTGCTGTGGTGATAGGACCACAGAGGATGAGAGAGAGAGTGCAAGTGTGTTAGTAGTTGAGAAGAGATTCACTGCATGTCGATATGTCCAATTTTCGATGTGAAGTGAAAGAGTAAATCTGGTACACAGATTGTGTGTGTGTTTGTTTGTGTGTGTGTCTGTTTGTCTATAAAATGGGCTTTTCTGGCAGTCATTTAACCCTTTCTACACAGTTTTTCCATTTGTATTATTGTAGGGTCTATACCTGACAATGTAAAGCGCCTTGGGGCAACTGTTGTTGTGATTTGGCACTATTTGAATTCAGGTTAATACATTTTTGTCTGTTTTGTTGTTCATCAAAAATATGCTTATCTTTCAGTTCCTTAAAGATTTTCGATAATGGTCTCAGTAAGGAAGGTAGGACCATTTTATACACATGAGTTTTTTGGGGTTTTTTTTGTTTTTTGTTTGTTTGTTTGTTTTTTATCACACACAAATTCTGTTTTAGTAGCATATTAATTTTGGTCACCCTGAACTGTGTGTCTCCTGTGCATTCAATAGTCTCTGTGCATTTGATCAACCTCACTTGTTGTTGCTCGAGTCTCTCAGTACTCAAAGTATTCTGAATATTTTTATTAGTGCATGGGATGCTACATTACCATCAGTTGGCAATTTAGGTTGCTAGGCAATGTGATGGTGTTTGTCATAGTTTGTCATACATAATTCAGTTTTTGTGGAGACAAAGTAGATGACACCTATCACACCTTATTAAAGCTAAAGTGCTTTAATATGGTGTGATAGGTGCAAACTCCTAAAGATGGGCTAGCTTGTGTAAAGTCTGGTGGTTGAACTCCTGATGATCGTATAAGGAGACGATCTTGAAGGGAAGAGCGGCCAAATTTAAATCAGGCTCGGCTTTGAGCTGTGGAATTTGTACTTTTGATAACACATCATTGTTTAAGTTACTTATGAGTATTTTCTGTGCCAAGTTTCTGAGATACAGCATGCATCTGTTTCTTATATTTGGACTTTTCTGACTGAAAATCGAGACATCATAAAGTGTGAGTGAAAGTTAAAGTCTCTCAGTTTAAGCCGATCCCTCGGTTCGCTGCATGTCCGTGTTTATATGTACTCTTGACCGGAGCTTATTGAGTCCGCATCTCATGAGCAGCCTCATATCTGGTTGCCATGGCTCCGAGACATCTGTGGTCTGAATGAGAATTTTAAGCTTGACCTCCTGGGGGACTTTTAAAAATGTTGTGAAACTAATTTTAGGTTTAGGGAGAACACTGAAAGCTAGTTTCACTAAGTGAAGCTACAAGTCTTACCAGATGTTTATGAATGAGAAGATCTGCTTGGGATATTTGTTTTCTTTTATTTTGATGAAAGGCTGACTGTCTGAATGTTTTTCTTTCAAGGTTGGATCATCGGCCTCATCGGATGTCCCCTAGACATTCCAGTGACGACTTCATTCCCGAGGGGCAGACACTGAGAAAAACACTTATAATGTATGCGGATAATGGCCTTGCACCTCCTTTGAACACGTGCTGGAATGAAAAGAATTCAGCAGACAACAGGATCACACCGCTTTCCGTGCACAGATGAAGTGAATGAAGAGAAACAGTTTGTCAGACCACAGTTTCCCTGAAGAGGCCAGAATCGATTCCAACCTGATTTGCACCTAATGTTTCCACTGGACTCATAAGAGACAAACTTTTATTTCTTTATATATATATATATTTTTTTTTTTTTTGGGGGGGGGGACACAAAAGACCAGTAATCCTGGGCACCAGCACAGCATGTTCTGCAGGTTTTTGTTTTAGACATCAAAAGCTTGACATTGATTTTGCAGCCGAGTCATATTTTTAAACGTTCTGTACTCTTTGCTCAACAAATCATCGGATCAGTGTGCAGTTTAAATTAAGTAATTGTAGCTTTTGTGACGTTGATATCAGAGGACACTGTGACCTGATTTTCTCTCTGGAGTTTGTTCCAAGGGGACCAAACTGGACTGAAAAATGACAGGTGATGGATGATGTTAGTCCACGGGACATTGGCCGGTGCTGTGGAAAACCTTAGTCCGAGGTTTTTTTGTGCTTTTTGCCACTTTTGTGCACATGTGCAGCACTGTGCATAGAGTGCGTTTACATGGGGATATGAAGACCTTCAGGGAGTAAAGCAAGGAGAATCTTGTGCTGAAAAAAGGCATTATTTTTTTCTCTTTTTCCTTTATCTTTTCTTCCCATCCTCACAGGCACTGCATCCTCTTTGTAGATGATTTTTTTAAAATAAATCCTGAGCTACAGAATACAGCGCATTAACCAGCAGTATTTATAACGTTTTAGATTATGTGTTAGTCGCTTTTTCAATATCTTCTTTATGCACAGCTTAGAATCTTCGCAGGATCGTGTTTTTTATAGTAAGGAGCACAAAAGTGGTGCTGAATAATCTGTAGGTACAAGAAACGAAGTGCTTTACGATGCTCCGTCATTCCTTCTACACGAATCCAACCTTGTATATATTTAATGTAAAGAAATTAATCTGTCAACAGTTGCCTTACCAGCATCGCTGAGCAATTCCTCGTCGCCGCTTCCTTTTAATGTTCTCGCCTGTGGGATTCCTGTAATGTAAAGATTTATTTATTTTGACAGCAGAGGACGCTGTGATGCTGTGTTTTCTCAACCTGAGTTGGTGATGATCTTCATCAACATGTGTAAACACCTTGAAGTTGAGTTCCTGTGAAGAATATGTATTTACAGTAGTGTGCCATTAACTGCCCTCTGACCTCAGCAGGAGTCCTGAAGACTCAACTGTGTAATAGCACGTTGTATACAAAGTATTCACTCTGTACTTCTTAGTGGTTTATTGTTTTACAACATTCATTTAGAGTGGGTGTACTTACTTTCCAAAGGTTCTTGGCGCTGATCGTCAGACTTTAGTTTTCAGGTTTAAAGGTAGCCTGTGTATAAGTTGTAGCTTTCAGGTTCCGGTGTGATCTAACATAAATAGTCGCTCACACCCGTGTTGCACAAAAAGAATCCCTTTTATGTGATTTCTGGAACACTTAGCTGAAGTATCGATGGGTTAAAATATGCAGGTGATTATTTTAAATGTTTCACATAATGTGGATTTTTATTTTTTTTTTATTTTGATCACTCTCATCCTTTTTACATCATTACAATTCAAAGTTGTAAAACAAAAGTCCAACAGAGGCTGTTAGATACTGTTTATAGATGGTGTGTTTCTTTGTCCCTGCCTTTTGTATTCTGTTACTGTGCATTTTACAAATTATTGCATCTCTAAAACTCTAATAAACACATTCTGCTAGTTGCTTGTTTCCTGTGGAACATGCATACTCCTTTTACTCTTGGAAGAAATCTTTCTTCCAGAAGGTTTATGTCCTCCAGCTCTGCTTTGCCCTCATGGTAATCTACTTGCTTCTTCTGTGCCTTTTATACATAGTACAGCACTTCACGGGGTAGCTGTGAAAACATGGGCTCGGATACAGATGCACATACACTTTGGAGAGAAACTTTGGTGAGTCCTGCAGGTTTTATAACGGTGTCATGCTACACTTATAAAAAGGAAGACTATTGATGAGCTCTGAGGAAAAATGTCAGCTGTGTGGGTGTGTGGGGTACAGTGATCATAGGGAGGGCCCTGAGGAAGGTTCCTGCGTGTGTGAGAGGGACTAAGTCACAGTGGTCCACCAGCACTCCAGTGCGCTCTTTTTAAACAGATCTGACACATCAGGGTCACCCTGTACCTCGAGACACACCGGAGAGCCCTGCGAGGGATGTGCACACAGGAGATCTTCAGCAAAACATTCTCAAACATGCACAGGAGGCCTAGCGGGCAAGAACACACACAAGCACAGTGGCCTTTACTATATAGGTCATGACAGCAGTTGCATAAAGCAGAAGGATGGAGACAGATGTTTAGGGGGGGAAAAAGACCATGAATGGGAAACGAGGGTAAGGATAATGGTACTTTGTGTACAAATGAGTGCTTTACAGTTTGAACAAACAGCTGTTGTGCCTTTATGTGAAAAACATCATTTCATGTGGAATAGATATCAGCTGAAATTGAACTAGAGCCTGCCTGTACTTTTGTATAATCCCAGTTTGCATCACAAGATGGTGCAGTGAGTCAGTGTGACCTGTATTTAACCACATGAGTCATTAAGAACAGTTCTACCTACATTGGCGGACTGGGGCGAAAACACACGTCATGGTGAAAGTTCGACTTGAATTCAGCAGTGAAAAAGACGCCTCTAAGCCTTACGCCTCCTCTGACAAAAAATGTGAAATTCTCACTTGACAAACAATAGAAGGGACAGCAGCCTCCCGCAGAAATCTGGACATCCACCTGTGTTTCCTTTATTTCCACTCAGGGCACACAACAACAAGAACAGCATGAGTGAGTGGAGCTTGAATTGGTTTTCACTGCGTGCTCCACTGCATCGGAAGACAATCAGTGGTGGGTTCAAGTACACAATGGCAGAATTAAAGATTTCTCATTATCTGATTGTTTATCAGAATATATCTCCAAGCACAAAACTGATTCAGACAACCATGCAGACATAAATCAGGAATGGTAACGTTTGGATTGCACCGTTTTCAGTAATTGTGATCAGCAGAATCACGACTGACACATTTGGCTTGCCATTGATTACTGATAGATTCACGCTCCCCCCATATTAACCACAATTATTTGCGATTGTCATTTAGAACTTACTCCACGTGTTCCCAGTGTTTCAAAAAGTGACCCGTGGAATCGGTTTGGCCATAAACTGCAATCTGGGTTTGAGTTTGACTAGAAACGAAAATGCAAAACCCAGTTTCACGTGAATTCTCTGCCATACAGTCAGGTTCTCTGCATTCAACCACAGTGGATTTTCACTCATACAATCAAAACGTGACTGAAGCGCAGATTTTGATCTCTAACTTCAGGATTTTAACAAAAGGTTTACATGAGCTATTTAGGAATTACAGCCATTTTAACACACGGTCTCACATTTTCCGAGGCTTAAACATTCATGAACATCTACAGTAATAATATATTTCTTGCCCACCACTTTAATCGCACTCTAGATCTTGTTTTAACATATGGCATAGAAACTGAACATTTAACAGTGTTTCCTGAAAACCCTCTCCTGTCTGATCATTTCCTGATAACATTTACATTTACAATAATTGATTACACAGCGGTGGAGAGTAGACTTTATCACAGTAGATGTCTTTCTGAAAGAGCTGTAACTAAGTTTAAGAATATAATCCACCCACTGTTATCATCTTCAATGCCCTGTACCAACATAGAGCAGAGCAGCTATTTGAACGCTACCCCAACAGAAGTTGATTATCTTGTTAATAATTTCACCTCCTCACTACGTACGACTCTGGATACTGTAGCTCCTGTGAAAACTAAGGTCTCTAATCAGAAGTACCTGACTCCGTGGTATAATTCTCAAACACGTAGCCTAAAGCAGATGACTCGTAATCTGGAGAGGAAATGGCGTGTCACAAATTTAGAGGATCATCATTTAGCCTGGAGAAATAGTTTGCTGCTTTATAAGAAAGCCCTCCGCAAAGCCAGAACATCTTACTATTCATCACTGATTGAAGAAAATAAGAACAACCCCAGGTTTCTCTTCAGCTCTGTAGCCAGGCTGACAAAAGTCAGAGCTCTTTTGAGCCAACCATCCCTTTAACGTTAACTAGTAATGACTTCATGAACTTCTTCACAAATAAAATTTTTATCATTAGAGAAAAAATTACCATAATCATCCCACAGATGTAATATTATCTACAGCTACTCTTAGTACCATTGATGTTAAGTTAGACTCTTTTTCTCCAATTGATCTTTCTGAGTTAACTTCAATAATTACTTCCTCCAAACCATCAACGTGTCTTTTAGACCCCATTCCTACAAAACTGCTCAAAGAAGTCCTGCCATTAATTAATTCTTCGATCTTAAATATGATCAACCTATCTCTAATGATCGGCTATGTACCACAGGCCTTCAAGCTGGCTGTAGTTAAACCTTTACTCAAAAAGCCATCTCTAGACCCAGCAGTCTTAGCTAATTATAGGCCAATCTCCAACCTTCCTTTCATATCAAAAATCCTTGAAAGAGTAGTTGTCAAACAGCTAACAGATCATCTGCAGAGGAATGGTTTATTTGAAGAGTTTCAGTCAGGTTTCAGAGCTCATCACAGCACAGAAACAGCTTTAGTGAAGGTTACAAATGATCTTCTTATGGCCTCTGACAGTGGACTCATCTCTGTGCTTGTCCTGCTAGACCTTAGTGCAGCATTCGATACTGTCGACCATAATATCCTATTAGAGCGATTAGAACATGCTGTAGGTATTACAGGTACTGCACTGCAGTGGTTTGTATCATATCTATCTAATAGACTCCAGTTTGTGCATGTAAATGGAGAGTCCTCTTCACACACTGAGGTTAATTATGGAGTTCCACAGGGTTCAGTGCTAGGACCAATTCTGTTTACATTATACATGCTTCCCTTAGGCAGCATCATTAGAAGACATAGCATACATTTCACTGCTATGCAGATGACACCCAGCTCTATCTGTCCATGAAGCCAGATAACACACACCAATGAGTTAAACTGCAGGAATGTCTTAAAGACATAAAGACCTGGATGGCCGCTAACTTTCTGCTTCTTAATTCAGATAAAACTGAGGTTATTGTACTCGGCCCTGAAAAGCCTAGAAATATGGTATCTAAGCAGATTCTTACTCTGGATGGCATTACCTTGGCCTCCAGTAACGCTGTGAGGAACCTTGGAGTCATTTTTGACCAGGACATGTCCTTCAAGCACATATTAAACAAATATGTAAGACTGCGTTCTTCCATTTGCGCAACATCTCTAAAATTAGAAATATCCTGTCTCAGAGTGACGCTGAAAAACTAGTTCATGCATTTATTACTTCCAGGCTGGACTACTGTAATTCATTATTATCAGGATGTCCAAAAAACTCACTGAAAAGCCTTCAGCTAATCCAAAATGCTGCAGCAAGAGTACTGACAGGGACTAGAAAGAGAGAGCATATTTCTCCTGTTTTGGCTTCCCTTCATTGGCTTCCTGTTAAATCCAGAATTGAATTCAAAATCCTGCTCCTCACATACAAGGTCTTAAATAATCAGGCCCCATCTTATCTTAATGACCTTGTAGTACCATATCACCCTATTAGAGCACTTCGCTCTCGCTCTGCAGGCCTACTTGTTGTTCCTAGAGTATTTAAAAGTAGAATGGGAGGCAGAGCCTTCAGTTTTCAGGCCCCTCTTCTGTGGAACCAGCTTCCAGTTTGGATTCAGGAGACAGACACTATCTCTACTTTCAAGATTAGGCTTAAAACTTTCCTTTTTGCTAAAGCATATAGTTAGGGCTGGACCAGGTGACCCTGAATCCTCCCTTAGTTATGCTGCAATAGACTAGGCTGCCGGGGGATTCCCATGATGCATTGAGTTTTTCCTTTCCAGTCACCTTTCTCACTCACTATGTATTAACAGACCTCTCTGCATTGAATCATATCTGTTATTAACCTCTGTCTCTCTTCCACAGCATGTCTTTTATCCTGTCTTCCTTCTCTCACCCCAACCGGTCGCAGCAGATGGCCGCCCCTCCCTGAGCCTGGTTCTGCCGGAGGTTTCTTCCTGTTAAAAGGGAGTTTTTCCTTCCCACTGTTGCCAAAGTGCTTGCTCATAGGGGGTCATATGATTGTTGGGTTTTTTTCTCTGTATCTATGAAGCGCCTTGAGGCGACTTATGTTGTGATTTGGCGCTATATAAATAAAATTGAATTGAATTGAATTGAATAGATGTTCTGCAGCCTCCATCAGTTGGTGTTTGTGGGTCTTTTTCTCTAGTTTTGTCTTTAGTAACTGAAAAGCATGCTCTGCAGGGCTGAGATCAGGTCTTGCACAGAAGAGTAAATGTTTCACTTGATTTTCTTTTTTCTGTCCCCTTCAGAAGCAACCAGCACGATAGTCAGCCATTAATTATATAATCAAGCTATCTGTGGTTAACCTACAATTTATTTGTCATTCCTTGTGTCCTTCATTTCACTTTCTGTGCAGTCACCTGCAGTGTTTGGCTGCACGCTGCATCAGCGCGGATTCTGGTAATTACACGGCCCCCTGCTCTCACTCATTCACTCGCTGTGCCAGAGCCGGCTGCTTACCCCTGTGAAACTTTACCGCTTAAGATGAGTTTTGTGGACATCATAAATCAGCTCATATTGTTTGATCTTTGTGCTTCCACACAGAAATCATTTCAGCCTCAAAAATACTGATTCTTCTGCTTTG